GCACTTGCCCTAGTTTAGAAACTACGATTTTTTGAGGGAGAGCGCGTCTTTGGCTGTAAACTTTTATTTTTCGAATCGCGCTTAAACAGCAGCAAAAAATCAACGCTCAGTGCAATTTCAATGAAAATTTTTCAGTTTTAGGACGAAAACGTTCGCTACCGCAGTGAATAGTTTCAAGTTCGCACTTGCCCAGTTTACAAATTACGATTTTTTACGGAGAGCGCGTCTTTGGCTGGAAACTTTTGTTTGTAGACTCGCGCTTAAACGGCAGCAAAAAATAAAGATTCAGTGCAATTTCAATGAAAATTTCTCAGTTCTAAGATACAAACGTTCGCTATGTTCAGAAAAATTTTCAGGTTCGCACTTGCCCCAGTTTAGAAGTTACGATTTTTTTACGGAGAGCGCGTTTTTGGCTGGAAACTTTTATTTGTAGACTCGTGCTTAAACAGCAGCAAAAAATGAAGATACAGCGCGATTTCAATGAAAATTTCTCCGTTTTAGGATGCAAACGCTCACTACCGCAGTGAAAAGTTTCAAATGCGCACTTGCCCCAGTTTAGAAGTTGGTTTGCTTGAACACTTACGCTGCGTTCAAGCAAACCACTTCTGAAGATGCGGGCCACTCGTGCTTGCGAAACGTCAAGAAGAAATTCTATCGAACAACGGCCTAAAAACCCGAAAAACCCATTAGTTTCAAGGAATGGCCTGGAAAGTCTTTCTCTTTTGATACATTAGGGATATTCGGGATTTCCAACATTCCAATTACCGCTGATTGAAATTAAACTCCTGGTTGTTCTGGCCAGATAAACATTTAAACTAAGCGCTGCATTCACTTCGGCTCAAACAAACAAAATATTTACACCGGGAAAACCTACATAACTAGTCCAGCCCGATATGGGAATTTACATTTTTCCATGTGAGCGCTCGCAATGCCATTTTCTATTTCCGGCTTCGGGTGTTTTTGTTTAATTTTCCTGTTCAAACCCCTGGTTTTATTGGCGATGTTCTCTGAATATCGAATCCTGATTTCACCGCCGATATCCACAAAGCCGAAAACGTGACTGAAACTGAGGAAACACCTAAATCTACTGTTGTTTCAGCGAATTCTGGATAGGAAACATCCGCTGGCAAATCCTGCCGTAGGCCAAATGAAGGGTAGGCACCAATTTAGAAGACGGTTCAGCCTACAGCCTTCGTTTCTAAAGGAGGAGCCTGAGGATGACAGCAGCCACCATCATAACGCTAGCCGGTAAGTTTTGAGGAAATTGCCGCAATCGACCAACCCTAACCGGCCCATTGAACCATCAGGGTGCTCAGAACCCAAAAGAGTGAGGATGCAGAGTCTCTGGAAAAGGACGTTGGAGTGGCTCCAGTGGGCAACGTTAGGCACAAAATAGTGGTAATGGGCGCGGCCAAAGTAGGCAAATCATCCATCATCACGCAGTTTCTCTACGGCACATTTTCCTCAAAGTACAAAAGAACAGTAGAAGAGATGCACCATGGAGATTTCAATGTTCAAGGGGTGAGTAAGGAGTAAGCTGTATTGGAATTGTGTTCAATAAATCTCCGAAAGTTCAGTACTTTTAAGTCCCGTTGTTCCATTTGCTGGTAAAAAATTGTTGCTCAAAGAAACCCGCCGTCGTCTTCAAAAAGTTGTAAGGGTGGGCCTTTTTAATCCTGAAGTGGACACTTAAGTAAAAATGATACGCTCATATAAAAAACTCTTTATGGGCCGTATTCGGGAATGCCTGGCAAGCCAACGAACCTTAACAGCCCCAATCGTGATTGTTCTGTCTTTCTCTTTTATTGAAAAAAATTGGTTTGGGAAGCTTAAGCTCGGCAAACTTTTCGCACTTAAATGACCATTTTTCCTGCTCGCTTTAAAACGACTCTCTTTCCCGTATTTCCTGCCGGATTTTACGTGGCCTCACTTGGAGAAATTAACACACAAAAACAGCGACTGCCCTTTCCAGATGAATCGCCACATTGTCTCAGGATTTTAGTTGTTTAAAGCGCAAAGCTCGTTTCAACTTCAGTAACTTGTATAGGAAAAATAAAAGTAAGCAGCTTTGCACTGGAATTGGAAAACTTCAGAGTGGAGCAGAAATAGTTGCTTAAAGCACATGAGATAATTTTGATTTAGTTTCCTGACTGCGTGTAATTGTTATTATATTTTTACTTTCCAGGGTTTCAGCCAAATTTGTCTTTTCAAGGGACAAATTTACGGTTTCAAGAAGGCAAAGACCTAAAAGAACGTTAATATTTACCAATTATGAGTTTGTGTAAATTTTAAATCTGATGATGGCGCTCTTGTCTCGCCGAAAATTATTGAAATATACTATATTCAAAAATGTTTACTTCGTTTTACAAAAAAAGACTTTATATCGTTTATTTCATTACGTTTCGGCGAGACAACAGCGCCATCATCAGATTGAAAATTTACACAAACTCCTAATTGGTAAATATTAACGTTCTTTTAGGTCTTTGCCTTCTTGAAACCGTAAATTTGTCTCTTGAAGCGACTTGTCTCGCCGAAACGTAATGAAATAAACTATATTGAAAAATTTTTATTTCACATTTTGACTGAACCCCAGGTTAGAAAAAATATAATAACATGAGATAGTGTTTGTAATAACTTACTCGATTTGCAATAAAATGCAGGGGTTTGTTGGCAAAATACAAGTTTAATCAATATTTCCTTTCTCCTACCTACCTTAGCGTCGATTTAGAATTCGATAACCAGACACCTTTTAAGGGCTGCGCTATCTAAAACCCACGCTAACAAAGCCCGATTAATGAAACTCTCAAGAGCCACTAAACTCCACACTCAATTCCTCCTTGATATTCTAGGGGATTAGACGCGATATTTTCCATTACTGTATATGAACCCCTTTGGATGTGATTAAATAAATACAGTTCCAAGAGCTAAGAGCTTATCTGACGACTGAGCACAAGTTGGAAATTTTTTTCAGATTCATCTCACTTTAGATATATTGGACACTTCAGGCGCCTATGAGTTCCCAGCCATGAGGGCACTTTCCATATCTTCAGCGGATGCCTTCGTTTTGGTTTATGATGTTACAGATGCGACGACTTTCGAAGAAGCGCGAGCGCTTAGAGATCAAATTCACGAGACCAAATGCTCCACTAACGTCCCCATTGTGGTTGTGGGCAATAAGATCGACCTCACTGGCAATCGAGAGGTTAGTCCAACTAATAGCTTTTTAATTGATTATCATCATACCCAAGCTTCTTCTAACGATTTCGGATTAACAAAAAATCATCCTGCAACGGAATCATCAATAAACATCAGGATAATTTGAAACGAAAAACATTTGTGATGGCTACACTTCTGTATTTGTATTGTTACCAAACGGGGACAAAGGAATGGGAATTTATTTCTATAAGCGACTGTTGGGAACGAGTCTCCGGAAAAAAGCTGTGCTTTGCTCTGTGATGAAAGATGAAATGTCTTGACGATTCGAAATTGTTTGCATTGTTTACCCTTGAACTCTACTCAATTTTCCCAATTGCGTTAAGTAAGCCACTTCCGCAGACACATGTAAATATGGATGTGAAAGTGGTCCGCTGAAACTTTCCAGATTCTATTTCCATTAGTGGAGTGACGAGTACACGGTAGAAACTTTCCAAATGGGCGCTGATTATGGAGGCGAATTCGCACTTTGAAGCGGCTGCTCGTTATGCATATACGCGTTTTACGGCAGCTTTACAAGAAGCTTTAAGTTTCTCCTCAGATGCTCAAAGTTTGACAAAGCAAAACAAAGATAGTTTGGCAAAAGTTTACGTTTCCCACTTCATGTTTAAATCGCAATCGAGTTGTTGATGGTTTTAGAAAATGTTGAAGATTTAGGTTGCTTACCTACTCCATACGCAATAAATTTCAATCCTCCCGTTGGATCAAATGGGCTCCTCTGAAAAGCCCATATTGAAGCTGACTCGTAAATCAGGACTGAAGAACAAATGAAATAAAATTCCAACTAGTGACAAATGCACGTTCCATTCGACACTGGAAGCTCATGGATGTCGCATTTGCTGTTAACGACCGACAGAACATCGTTTCTAGTTTGCGCTCACTGAAACAAAAACTGGGCAATTTTAACTATGAGTGACTCGATAACCTTTCGATCTGATTGGCAGCAGGGCCGTAAATATAAAATCCCTTCGCTGCATATCCCCATATCGGGTATTAAAGTGCCCATAAATGCAAGGTGTAAATTTTAGTACTTTGGGGTATCAAATAAGGTTTAACGAGTTCAGGACGGTTAATAGGCAGCATTTATAACACGCATTGCCATGTAAATTGATTGGAATTTGGAAGAGAACAGTGTTTGTGGTCCTTTCTCCCTTTTGTGTCTTCTGCTCAGAAGCTCAGAAGATGAATTGCTTCTGGGGTCGCTTAAGGTCTACGTCTAAGGCATTTACATTTCTTAGTATCCTCTAATTAAAGGGCTCAATGTATTATAAAAGTAGAGCAGTTTCGGTCAAAAAATGATCTTTCAATGGGTGAACGAAGATTTTTTTCTCTAGTAGCAAAAAAAAACGAGCACAGTAGTTTCAAAGTAACACATTTGTCCACTTCCTACCATCAGTTAGGGTCAGAATTAGTCAGTGATTAAAAATCGATATTATTAACTACGTCTAAAAGTTTTCAATGGATTAATTTCGATTTTTAACTACTTCTAAAATTTTTTAATAGTTAAAATTTGATTTTTAACTATTTCTAAAGTTTTTCAGTATTTTAATCTCGATTTTTAACTACTTCTAAAATTTTTCAATAGTTTAATCTCAATTTTTAACTACTTCTAAAACTTTTCAATAGTTTATTCTCGATTTTTAACTACTTCTAAAATTTTTCAATAGTTTAATCTCGAT